ATGAATTAGTCAAAAATGATTAATTACTACAGTTATTAGAGGCTGCTTTTTCACTCATACCATGCTATACCATGGGATAGCATAGTATCCCCGATATAATAGCCAATTCATATGTAAAATTCAAATATTATATGGAAAATGGACTATATCTCAAAAACTGTTTTACTTTTATAACTTTTGACGACATTTTCGGATGATGCGGATATAAGAACTGGCTATTATATCGGGAATACCATGCTATCCCATGGTATACTATGGGATAAGTGAAAAAGCAGCCACTAATAACTGTAGAAATTAGTCATTTTTGACTAATGAATTTTTAGAGAGTAATAATAGACAGTTTAATAGACGATCTTTTGCAAAGGATTACAACTCAACATATTCATCTTGAAATAATCGAAATAATCAAAATCAGGCTTATATAACTTTTAAAAAAGAAAATTATTTTTTTTTTCAAAAATGTAATTTTATCAAATTATTGTGTACTAGGGTAATTAAATTTTTTTTTACTTTACTACCGACAAAAATTGGTTCTTAGGCACCTCTAAAAAGTGCTCAACATATTTAAGGTCTTAATTTTACTAAGAAGATCAATATCCTTTGATCTTGAATATCTTTTAAAGGTTTAAAGTAATCGCTTAAACAATTTAACGCTATCAAAAAAACTTTCCCCGGCAGTACAGAAAAGTAGCTGTCTCATTTGCAATAATATTTACTACTTAATGCTATTTAGAGTAAAATAACATTCTTTTTTTATATAGTTGAGAATAAATTTCAAATATTACAGAAAAAGCCCATTTGTGGTATTATATAAAAATACAAGTCGTAAAATAACCCCCAAAGTTTGTCCCTTAATTTTGGTCCTCTAGCTCACGTCTCCTGGGCCAAAGCTTTTATAAATGACCTTTTGAATTGAGCGCACATTTTTTTGTGCTGCCCCCTTGCGGCAATGTATTTGGTAACGGATTTTAGTAGGAAATTGGGATTTGAACTATCTTGAAGCCACAACAGGTTTTTTGTTTTTTTTTTATACCAGCATAGCAAAACTGTGCATTCTCCTTTGTCACAGTTATAAAAATTAGTAAAAGTACCAGTTGGACTTTGTTTGATTCTCAAAAGTAATTATCCTAGTAATGGTTTTAAGGGCAAAAATACAAATTTTTATCTTTAAAACAGTAAAGAGGTTATGTTCTAAAAATATACATTTTTCCCCTGGGTTGGGTTGGGAGACGTGTGTCGCATATTGTGTTACCCAGGGAAAAGTTATGTGACCCAGGGGACAATTCCAAAGAAATAAATTATAATATATTTTATAAATAATAATAAACTTATAGGAAAGTTAAAAACATTTTTTTTTCGGACCTTCCACCAAAAATCCAACTGCCCACTTTTAGGTGTTAAATAACACCCCTCAATAAACAAAATTTTGAAAAAAACAGGTTTGTATATTAAGTTTCTGTTTTTACTTTTTTCTTCTTTAAATGTACAAGAATTTTGAAAATAACTCTAGTCCTTTTATGTAAAGAATTCAATTTCATACAAAAATATGTGTAAAGATTTAATTAAACGATTAATAAATAATAAAATATGGTATTTTTTATAACATACTATAAAAAATGAAAAGATGTAATAAGGAGGATCTCCCATTAATATTACGAGCTCAAATTTGGTGCACTTTCTGGAGGTGTCTAAGAACCAATTTTTTAGTTTCGGAAGTAAAAAAAGCCTACGTTACAAGTACTGACTTCAAAGAAGATTCAGCCCTATTGAGCCAGTACGTTAAAAATTTGTGATTATTTATTTAAATGATTTATGACAGCGCTCTTGTAAACGTCTGCCTCCTTCGAAAGTTCCACTAATCTTCATAATGGAGCTTTTTTAATCAAACTCAATTTCAGTCGTTTTTATTTTAAAAATTAGTTCTATCGCTTTTAAAAACACTATATTTTTATTATTTCTATAAAAACTATCGTTAAACAAAACAGCTTCTCATTAAAATTGATTCAATATACCTATTGATGACATTGCACTAAGTAAAAGTTCTTCGTTAAACATTTACAGTCACGTATGGTTAAAAATCGTTCAAAATCTCACTCGATAGAAAGGTAATAAATCTATCTAGGTCCGTTTCTGGAGTAGTAGTGATAGCCCGCACATGAATCCTTGTGGAAGCAGCAATGAACGTAACGTGTCAGGATAGCAAGAGGTCGACACACAAGAAAGGGAGGACGAAGTACGGAGTATAGAGAAAGGGAGAACATTGAATAAATAAATGGAAACGTGACTGAAGGTCGGTACTATTTAATCAATCAATTCGTTTATTATTTTTACTTTCAAGGGTGTATACTAGGGTGGAGTGAATTTTATTAAATTTATTAATTGATTTTTCCTATATTATTAATTGTTGACTAAAGGCGTAAAATGAATAAATATCGAAAAAATATTCCAATTTTTTAATATCTTGAGGTGGCGCATCAGTCTCGAAGTTTTGAAACTTCTAAAAAAATATTACTTTAATCAAAGTAATAAAAATAGCATTATTTATAAATAAAAAATTTATTTTAGTAAAATTAACGTGAAACGTAGACATATTTAATAGTAAATAATATGCTTCAAGTAACTTCAGGAGTGTTTATTGGTAGAAATGAGATCTTCTTTTTCGTGAAAATACTGACATTTCGTATAAAAATTTGGTAATTATTTTCTGACTTTAATTCTTGTTCTGATGAAACCATCTCTTGCTTCCGATCCACAAACCGAGACTGAAGATTCAGTATACTGGTTATAACCAGTTTTACACAGCGTTCCACTGCTTGGGTGTGACACGGAAATTTTTGGAAGTATAGGAAATGGTCACCCGAAGAAATCATATCGGTAATTTCTGTCATCGTATTTCATAGTCATAGGTGGTTCAGTTACCTTTTCTGTCGCCCAGTGAATTAACTCGTAAAAATGTAATGCTTCAGTATTTAGTTGTGGAAGCTTTAATTCCCGTAATCTCGAACATTTTGATTCTTTTCTCGCCTTTAATATTTTCGGCAATGCTAGTTCTCTGATCGATAGATATATTTTAGGTAACATACATAGCTAGTAATAGGTTTTCGGGATAAATATTAGCTATAGCTTACAAAGATCCAGGCAAGCTAGCACATTCCCTATGGCTGACGTGGGCTAATAGGATTATTCGTTTATATGGGGGGACAGCAAATCCATCGGAAAACCTAAAAGAATTGGCTACTTTTATCATGAAAGTGTATGCCCCAACGTGGTTTTACATCAACAGCAAGCCTACGTGCAAACATGGTCCTATTCACATATTTAATTTGACTAAAAGAGCATTACACCTCCAGAAAAACTTGAAGGCCTTATAACTATAGTTATAAAGAATATTCAGCGAAATATTTATCCCGAAAACCTATTACTTGCTATGTTACCTACAATATATATATATAGATATATCTATCGATCAGAGAACTAGCATTGCCGAAAATATTAAAGGCGAGAAAAGAATCAAAATGTTTGAGATTACGGGAATTAAAGCTTCTACAACTAAATACTGAAGCATTACGTTTGTACCAGTTAATTCACTGGGCGACAGAAAAGGTGACTGAACCACCTATGACTATGAAATACGATGACAGAAATTACCGATATGATTTCTTCGGGTGACCATTTCCTATACTTCCAAAAATTTCAGTGTCACACCCAAGCAGTGGAACGCTGTGTAAAACTGGTTATAACCAGTATACTGAATCTTCAGTCTCGGTTTGTGGATCGGAAGCGAGAAATGGTTTCATCAGAACAAGAATTAAAGTCAGAAAATAATTACCAAATTTTGATACCAAATGTCAGTATTTTCGCGAAAAAGAAGATCTCATTTCTACCAATAAACACTCCTGAAGTTACTTAAAGCATATGATTTACTATTAAATATGTTTACGTTTCACGTTAATTTTACTAAAATAAACTTTTTATTTGTAAATAATGCTATTTTTATTACTTTGATTAAAGTAATATTTTTTTAGAATTTTAAAAACTTCGAGACAGATGCGCCACCTCAAGATATTAAAAAATTGGAATATTTTTTCGATATTTATTCATTTTACGCCTTTAGTCAACAATTAATAATATAGGAAAAATCAATTAATAAATTTAATAAAATTCACTCCACCCTAGTGTATACACCATATATGGCCAAAATTAATTTAATTAATAGATGTCCTCGTTATATCCTTTACATTGCTTGACTAAAAGATTATAATGGTTTGAAAATAAGTAAAAATACATTTTAAAATAAAAAAAAATTGCAGAATTTTTAATGTTCGAGTCTGGTTTAGACTGTTGCATTGTTTGCTTAATATTGTTTCAAAAGTCTTCCCTGTTTAGTATTTTTTTAACTTTTGTCTGTCTAGTCTTATCTGTCTTTTAATACAAAAAATCTGCTACTTTCACTTCTTCTCATTCAAGCTTGAAAAGCACGTTTCAACCACGATACACAAAAATAGGTACGCTGTTTATGAAACGAAAACTCGTCGACTCCGCGAATGTGACGTCACGTGCATACGCTATGCACGGGTGTTTTACTACAAATTCGAAATTATTGTGTTGTTTAAAGTATAAGCCACACAGGATGGTTTCGCAACGTTTTTTTAAAGTTTTACTGCATTTTTTGAACAACAATAATTATTTACAAGCTATTTCTAAGCCACGCGCTGGTGTTTTATAACCAGGTTATTTATTAAGTTTTTGTTATATTTGTTGGACTTAATAACTATTAAAATATGCCGGGCTGTGCTGTAGCAGAAATACAAACAGAAATTCCAACACCCAACCTAACCTAACATTGATGAATGAAAATAAAAACCATACCGGTTTTTGTGTATTGTGGTGCCAACAACGTTTAAAATACGAATTGATTGACTGGGCATCGAGAAATGAAGATGATGGGTTGGTGAAGGAGCAAAAGCAAAAAGCCGGCATTCAGGTAACGAAAAACTTACCCTGAAACTCTTTTCTTGCCGCCGACACTGAGGTGACAATGTTGGCCACATGCCCCATAACGGTCGCAAACAGTAATAGCCCGAACAGCAGCTGAAATATCACGAACACGTACTCGGATTTGTTTCTAGGCCTAGGCAGATCGCCGATGGTGGTCAGCGCTAATGTGCACCAGTAGTAGCTTTGCAGATACGCCTTCACGTTGTCCGTGCTTTCGCTGTCGCTGTACACCCAGTTCTTGGAACCGAAACCGTCGTTTTTCAGGATGATGTGGAACACGCAACCGTTCCAATGGAATATGACTAGGAGGTAGTGAATCAGGCTGCTGGATCTGAACAGGTTCGGGTAGTTTGTGTGACGTTCCGTTCGGTCCATGAACGCCCAAAACCTTTAAGTCAAAATATTTAGTCATTAGGAAGTAATACTTGAAAAAGGACAACTTTGGTGATATGTTAAATAAATATTAGAAATATTTCCCAACACCAAAACTATTTAAAGATTTATTTATATTCTTGATGACTTGTATGACTTTCGAAACTATCTAGCAGACTTGGTTCACTAACTTCCTTAATAAGTTTAAGGTTGCCAAATCCTATTCTAACTCTATTCTAACACTCGATTTCTCTGTCTTACCAAATCTAGCATGGGCCAAGTGAAGGGGTTAATGCAAGAAGTGCCTTAGTTACAAATAGGTGATTCTGAGATATTGCGGTTTGAAGGTTTATTTTTGATTATGAAATATTACACAAAATATTATGATAAAAATGTGTGTTGTATTGTATTCTTTGTGAAAAGTGGATTGGACTTCCATGATTAAAAAAGAAAATACGTTTTGTTATTTCAAAAAACATATATAAAATAATTTGGGACTGTTGAAATGTTTTTATTTTGTCAAAAATTAAGGGATATTTTGAGGAAAAATTTGTTTTTACTTAAAAAAAGGTTTATTATATTATAACGCCTTAAAAAATATATAAATTGTGAACAAAACTTAAGACTAGGACATAACATAAAGAAAAACTAAGAATATAATAATAAGGCTCGCTATTCATAAACAGCGTCGGTCTCTTGTAACTGATCAATTTCTTTATCAATGACATAATTTTGCTGGATTATACTTCCATTTTTAGACAAGGTTTGAGCAAAAATACGGTAACTGGTATGTTTTAAGGTTCCACAATCATTTTATTTTACTTTACTTACCTGCCATAGTTATGTATTTAATCACAGACACAAATGATTAGGATTTACATAGTTTAGTAGGTAATTTGCTCAGATATAACCTAATTTAAATAACGTGGACTAAGGCACAGGTTGCATTGCATCTGTCAAAATGATAACTTATGTACTTCTTGCATTAAAAACCAGGTAAACTCCCATTGAAGTAAATGCAAACTAAGGCACTTAGACACATATTTCTGCCACCTGAAAGCTTAAGTGAAACACTTTTAGATAGCGCCAAAATGTCAATTTTATTGAAAATATGACTTAGGCACTTCTTGCAATGGCCCCTTCAGGTGCTCTTTGAACCTTACTTGGATGGATCGTTTTAGTTTAGTCTGTCCAAATTATATAATGTCACAATCTTATAGTTGATTTCGTAGATACCCGACTATTTAATTTTAGGAATCTTATCTTTGGGGTTGCCTAAAAGGGTCTAAAGTGTGTTACTTTTTTGTGTTTGAGAATATTTCTTATATTTGATTAATAAGTAAGTCAGTGAAAATATTAAGTAGGTACCTGTAGATCTTAACGAGTCTGAATGATCGAAGGATGGAATTGAAGCCGACGGACAGATATAGAAAGTCCAGGGGCAACAGGCACAAACAGTCTATGTAGAAGGTGGTGGAGTTCATGTAATGGTTACGCAGCTTCGTCGAGTCCGTTTGGAGGACGCCGTCCTCCAGGTACCCGGTGCGGAAGTGGAACACGATGTCCACTAGGTACAGGAAGTCGGCGAAGTAGTCCAAACAGAACCACACCAGGAGTGTGTTTGCTATTTTGAATTAAAATTAATTTTGATTAACAGTTATACACACTTTTAAATAATAATGTTAAGGGTAGCTAACTAAGGAAATTACTAGATTTTCCAAAGTATAAAATTTTTCCAAAATTTGTATTTGAACCTTTTTTAAATGTAGTCTTTATATTTTATCGTTTTTCCTTCTTTCTACCTACATAAATTAAATATTTTGATGAGAAACATTTTTGTCTAATCCGGTCAAAGAAGTATCCCAAGTAGCAGAACTGGTTAAATAACTAGAATTCTAAGTAAATTAACCAAAATCCAAGTAAAATAACGTTTTTTTTTATTTTTATATTATTTATATATAAACTTATAGGTTGTGAGTTTTGTGTGATTATGGAGCCTTACAAAAATAATTTTTAAAAATATAGACTTTCTTCAACTTACTATAGAAGATTTAACAAAGTTGTAAATAATTTTTTATCTACAAATCTAAAAACAGTTCCCTTACATTCAATTAATTTGGTAAGAATTTATAGGTTTTATCACAGAACAGATGCGTTTTATATATATATTTTTATAAAAATAGAGCAGGGAATTTTTTTTTAGGTTATTTATTTTAAAAATAACAAGTTAGTTTAGTTTAACTAATTTTGATAATTATATACTATAATTTGTTAGATTAACCTAATTTAAACCAAAATCAAAGAGTTATAAATAACCGATAGGTAAATAAATTAGTTAAATTAAACACAATAAAATAACCAAATGGTTTAAATAAACTTGCAGGTTAATTTGTATTGGTTATATAACTAATAATAACAAAGTTATTTGATCCTACATGTCTAAAAACATTTCCCTTACATTCAATTAATTTGATAAGAATTTATAGGTTATATCACAGCCAATCCACGTTACTCGGGAATTTTTGTAGCGTCCGTTACAATAAAAAATTGTAAGTAAAAGCTACCGTAATTATGATGCTTATAAGCTTAAGCATAATTATTACAAGCATAATAAACATGTTTGCAATAGTAACAATTCTAATAGTATTTAATTTAATTACGGTAGCTTTTACTCACAATTTTTAATTTAAACGGACGCTACAAAAGTTCCCGAGGAGCGTGGAATGGCTGATCACAGAACAGATGCGTTTTATAAAAATAGAGCAGGGAATTTTTTTAGGTTATTTATTTTTAAAATAACAAGTTAGTTTAGTTTAACTAATTTTGATAATTATATACTATAATTTGTTATAACATAATATATAGATTAACATAACATAATCTATAGATTAACCGAATTTAAACCAAAATCAAAGAGTTATTTTACCGATAGGTAAATAAAGTAGGTATACCTATAACTATAGTTAAATTAAACACAATAAAATAATCAAATGGTTTAAATACACTTGCAGGTTAATTTATATTGGTTATATAACTAATCAGTAAAAGCATCCTAAAATCGCCATATTGTTTGCTGTCCATTTTAACCAAAGAAAATGCCATTAATTTTAATAATTTGTTTTATAAAAAAATAAGGTAATTTAAACAAACAAATAATAAAAAATAATATTTTATGTTTAAAAGTATTTTAAATCATTTTCAAAGAAAATAGTCAAACATTTTTTTTTAACTATTTCCTAATCAATTGATACATACATATATGAGATTAATATTTAGAGGCGACATTTTATTGTAAGGATCTGTATGTCATATCTATAGATATAGTCTATAGATAACCATATTTGGTAAATTATAATTATATAGAGTTAAAATAAACTTAAGCCGGTTGATTATAGTTTAAGTTGACCTTAAGTTAAAGAGTAGTTAAAAAGGGTAAAATAAACAAAAAACTACAAAATATTACCTTCAACTTTCAACCAAAAGGTACATTAACCAAGAATTTAAGTTTAACTAACATAACGTTAATTTAAGGTTAATTAAACGTTAATATTACTTAAATGAATTAACTAAGATTAAGAACGTTAATTTAACCAGTTGTGCTACTTGGGATTACCTATTAGCACACGCACATGTATTTTTCGTATTTTTTAAATAATGTGAAATTTTTATGGAATTTATTAATTAATTATTTGGTTGATGCAAAAATTAAATTTAGGTTTTGACGCGTCATAATGCAGTATATTTAAAATTATATATGTTGGGTCGAATATTATTTGTAATGTGCGGTCGCGACCGCTAAAACGTTGTTTGCAAACGTACTATTCGATTATAATATCCTGGTGTTAACATTTACTCTTGCAGGCCATGTGCAAAACATTATTTATTTAATCCCCCAAACCAAAATTTTGACCGAGGATAGAATATAATACCGGCTAACACAGGACGAATATTTGTTTAATGCGTTCACCTGCAAACTTTTTTGATTAATAGTTTTTGAATTAAAACGTTTTAACAATTTTATTTGTTATTGTTATTAATTTTTTTAGTCTTTTTATAAATGAAAGAAATGTTCAACAAAAAATTTTTAGATGTGAAATATTTTCGATTTTTCAAACCTAAATTCCTACACTGAGAAAAATGAATTTGTTAAATTAAAAGTTTTTGAATTGATATTAAAACAATAAACATTTTGTTGAGATAAACTCAAATTTTACTTTCAATTAATATTTTGAAAATTTCAAATTAAAAATGTTATTTTAATAGTCCATTTTATTTTAATCAGTATACCAACACTAAACGTAGGTATATTGAATAAATATTGTTAGAAAATTTGATGAAATCATTTTTCTATTAGTTAAATAGATACACACACAAAAATTAAACAAATATTTAAATTATTAAAGCGATGTCTTTTATATTTTGCCTTTACAAACTTGTAATATTGAGTCAACGTATCTTAATAATTATTTTAAAATTGCAAGATATTTTGTAACATTTTTATGTTATTACTTCAATGTAAAGATAATTCAACTGAGAATAAGACTGTTAATTTAACTCATACGGAGAGTTAAATGAATTGAATACGAAGCTAAGTTTATAGTAATATTTTCTCGCGTTACCATGCTTGTGACATAATTATTACCTTCCTAGGTAGGTACATGTTTAAATATAGCATTCATAATAATAAACTAATTGTTTCATAATGAACTTTTATAGCAATGGAATCGTTATTAGTAGGGATGGGATTTTAGTTATTTTACCTTTTTTTAACCGATGTAACTATTTGAAAACCAATAATGCCAAAATGTGTTTTAAAAGATTTTCTTTTATATGAACCTAACTTGTTTTCACCTTTTTTACCTTTTTTGGAGGTTTTTGCTTTTAACTACCTTTTTTATACTTTTGTTACCTATTTTTTTAACTTTTTTTCACCTTTTTTACCTTTTTTGGAGGTTTTTGCTTTAAACTACCTTTTTATACTTTTGTTACATATTTTTTAATTTGTCAGTTTATTTTCATATATTTGTTACGTATTTTTACGTATTTTTACTTATTTTATTTTTTTTGTTCTTTTTAAAATTTGCGCCAATATTTTATCCAGGGCGTGCAACTCAACGGTATAGAATATTTTCTTATGGTTACAGACTGTAACAGTAACTTTCTTTACAGTTACCTTCTTTGTAGTGACTCACTACTAGTGAGTTCTGTCATAGAACTTCTGTGTAGTGAGTGTCACTCAGTAAAACACAGTTTATTGCATATAAATAGTTTATGGGTGGGTATGTTCTGTGTTTGGGTATGCGGCTAAACAAAATTATAAACGAAACTTAAACTTTTAATTATTTTTTTTTACCTAAAATACTGTTTTTTTAACCTAAAATGCTTTTTTTAGTACCTTTTTAGTTACCTATTTTTAAGTTTTTATTACCTAAATATCCCATCCCTAGTTATTAGACAAATGGAGATTTGCCAACCTAATTGATGTTTTTTATCGATATCGATAAGGAAAAGCTTTTAAATATAAAAGCCATAATTTTAAAAGACTTAATTCAAAAAGTAGGTCATCGAATAAGGTTTTTGAATAAATAAGATAAATACAAAAAAAACTATTTCGGTTAAGTAGTGTATACATATTCAATTTTGTTTGTTGTTAAAACCAGGGTTTAAAAAAATCATGATTTAAAAAAAATATATCGGATTTTTTTTTTAATAAAATCAGATTTTTTTTATTTTAATTAAATTTTGGATACAATAATTCAAAAAAAAGTAAGATAAAATGATTTAAATCTATTATGTTTTATTTTGTGTTCAAATTAATTTGTATTTATCTAATAAAGTTTTTTTTAAATAAATTTGATATTTTATTCAACCTTTCCATACTTTTATATTTGGTTTTGTTATCCAATTTTTTAAATAAAACATTATTTTTTAGGTAATGATGTTCCTATGTTTATTATTTTACTACTAATTGTGCATTAAATTCATATTTTTAATAATTTGATTAAATATTACGATAATATTATTTTAATAATCCGCATATTTCATTTAAATATATTTAGTGGTTCTGTCAAAAAAGGTTTAAAGGTTAAAATAAATTTCTGAAATTTTAGTTCAATAATTTTAATTTATTAAAACAACATTTATATTTTAACATTCATGAATGGTTCTTTTAACTCCAAGTAAATATTGTTTGTATTGAATGTGTGTTTTTCTTTCAGTGTACTAACTCGAAAACCATTTTTAGGAATCTATTTTGTTATTAATAATAATAATGACTATCGTCCTGGCACTACTAAAAATAAATGTGGTTAAACTAAATTTATCATTGTAAATTATTATGTTATACAACAAGCTTATAACGAGAAAGAGAAGGAGAGAGACTGTTCTATAATTATAAAGTCTAGTCTAGGACCTGACCACAACTTCAAGCTGACACTTCAATAAAGTTTCTGACACATAACGCAAAACAGAGTGCGGCTTACGTCTTAATAATTCTGCATTGTCTTGGCGTTTACTAACGCTTTTTGCTTCAATAAAACCATCCGAGCAAAATATGAGATTACATAGTTATCTCTGTCATAATAACTCTAATAATTGCAAATGATTTCCTTTCAAAATCATTTATAGAAGTGATTGTTTAATCTCTTTTTTGCAAAGGCTACTTTATCCTTACATTGTTAAAATCAAATTGTGATATAATACTTACCATCAATTTCTCTAAAGGCAAAGCGGTAAATAATGACCCAAAAATTATAAAGGAAAGCTAAGGACACCACCATGGACCAATAGTAACACAATCTGCCCGCCGGATCGAAAACGAACGACCAATTCGACGATCCCGATCGTAATCGAGAACTGTACGACTCAGCTCGACGAGATCCGTATCGACTGAAAAAATACACAACAAATTATTCCAGTCATTGTCTAAAATGAGCAAAAATTGTCTCTCTGACTGTACTGCCCAAGTAGCAAAATAAGTTTTTTTAAGGTATACAAGGGCTCCATAAAACTACTCCTACTACTCCTACTACTACCTATTTTCTTTAACAGCAGCTATACAGCTTCGATAAAACCATTATAGGGCTAAAAAGGAGAATCATATCGCTGTCCTTAGGAGCAATTTGTATGTCAGCCACAAAGCAACTTTGATTTATTGTATTACTCCTAAGGCACACCTTACAGCAGCCTTAAAACCTACCTTACAGCTGTCATAAAGCCTGCTAAGTGCAATAGGTTTTAAGGAGGTAGTGTGCTTTTGTCGTAAACACATTTTAGCTGACAATTTGTACTTATTGATGTACCTCTTTACTTTATTGTTGTACTTTGTCAATTCCATATTGCTTTAATCAAATACTTATTATTGATTCTAAAAACTTAATAAGAAAATTATTATCTTTAGTCAACCAATAATTTTCGGATGCAAAAATCATCATGTAGCCAAATCAGGACATTTAGGTTTTATAATTTGGATGATAACATGATAACCTTTATGGAAACCACTATAAAAACAAAAATGTTTATTGGGTATGCAGGAGATACTGCTCTTAAAGGCGGGTGACCATCATTTTTCCATCATCCATATTTTTGTACTTGAAAATAATTCAAAAAATAGCTCATGTTACTTCAAATTAATTAAAAAAACTAATATGCAAAGCATTTTTAACAACAAAACTGATTCTTGCAAGGTTATTATACCTAACTTTAATTGAAATGCTCTTCTTAGGAAATAATTTCAATTTTTTATGTAATATCATAAAAACAAACATGATAAATTAGTCTTTACTAGAAAGATAATAGTTTAAATACATTATTCTAATCGACGTCTTCGTCTAAGGACACCGTAAAGCTCACTTAACTACCATTTGGCTTTATAGAGGTATCAGAGGAGGATGAAAGCTGTGACAACCTCATTAAAGCAACTATGATAAAACCTCTTGCTTTTATTATTGATGCAAAAGTAGGCCTTGAAGGCAATAAAAGGATTCTCCTTTTTGGTTCTAAGAAAGTCTTAAGTATGTTTTTACAGCAATAATAAAACCCAATGTGTTACTTGGTTCGACGAGTTCCCTCGATAAGTTGGAGGGGAACATAGCGTAAGATTAAAAATAAGAAATTATTATGCAGCTAACGTACATCTTAGAAATAAATAATTCAGCTCGCAAAGTGTTAAAGTAAAAACAGAGAGACAAGTCCCCCAGGTCCTGGGGACTGGCAGGAAGAGTGGGAGAGTGTCGTGTCGTTACCTTTCAGTCCCGTTGCAGCTGCTCGTGCTGTTGAGGTGATTGGAGGATGGGGGGTTGGTCCCGGCCGTCGAGCCCGGCGTGTTTCGCCACGCTCCCAGAAGAGGAGCCTCCCCGGAACTGGCCAAAGTTACGCTAGTCGGCAGTTTCAGCCGACCTGGGGACAAACAAAAACGACGTTCGAGTAAAAGTTGGCGGCTCTGGGACGGTCACAAATAAGTCTTGGGGGAGTTTCGAATTTTCGGTTGTTATACATTATAGGAATATATAATACCCTTATAAAGGTAATAAAGACACTTAAATCAGAGCACGTTGTTTATGTTAATTTTAACATTAATTTTTATTATAGTTGTACCTCGTAACAACTGTAAAATTACAGGTCACTGTAAAATAAATTCATGCACATGTCAAACGTCAACAGGTACAAATAAAATAGTATTTAACACGGCAGACACACAGGTATTTTGAGCTTAAACATGGCCAAAACTCAATGTTGTTAATTTTCATTACAAGATTGTGTCTCAAAGCAGATAAATAACATGATTATCTTTTGGTTTAGTTGCTACCTGAATTTGCCATCCCAGTCCGGGGTACCAACAGCTAGAACTTAGCGCTCCACAAAAACACAAATTTTCTCCGTGTTGTTACTTATGTTAACAGTGATTTTGGTGAAAAAAGTTGATATCCATATCGTCAATCAAGGTATGTACAATATTTTGAGCGAGGGGTACCACTGAATTTTTAATAGTATTTTATGTAACAAGTTTGATAAACGTCATTTTATACACGAATTTAATGAGTGTATAGAAAAGTTTATAAACGAGGTGCATACTATACTTTTTCTAGGACAAATACTTATTATCTTAAAATGAATTAAATCAAAAAATTTTGTAGAGCGCCATCTATGAAACAATACGGGAATCTGTGTGTCACCGTCAAATTTTTATATTTTATAAACACAGATGATAAAGGTTATAAATCGAAATGTATTTCTTGAAAATTGACAGTTATTCACAGTGAAAGTAAAGAAAATGCTTTATGAGCACTTTACAGTGGATTCCGTGCCCGAATTTAAATTATAGTTTACTGCTGGCTAAATTAAAAGGTCACAATGTTCATATAATCTTTTCAAATATTGACGTTGAGAAACTATTTAATACTTTTGTATTTTTGTATTGAGATAATAAAATAACATTTGACAACTGTCAACTAAATTAAAACTAACTTCAGCCCATGACTAAAAACCTGTTGCTAACTTCAGCCCGTGACTAAAGCCACAACTTGTCAATGTGTATTTAAAAGGTCACTTAGTGTCATGGAAACATGTACGATAAAGGGCGTTTTATAGGTGGGAGTAGAAAAAATTACTTACGAATTAACGGCTAAGGATAACAATAACAAGGGTAGTCATGCGCTAACGACTAATAAGGAAAAAAATCACAACACAACGTCCACTAACATTGAACGTTGGTCTCTAAGATTTTAAAGTGGTTTACCCCTCGATTTTGAGCAACATTTTATTTGTGTTATAAACTTTATTTATTCATATCGAGTCTCGAAAAGTCCATGAAAATATTAAATTTTTCTCGTCTTTTAAACAAACATTTGTATTTTTAAATATATGCAACACCTCGCAACGGCATCCGAACCATGTTTTATTAAACTTCAGGACATCTAAAATAACTGTAGCCATCAAAAACATTCACAAGTTTTCACATCACGGAAAATTTACTCTTGAAAACAGACACTTTAGTGCTGTCTTATAAGATTATTAGGTAGATGGATATATTTTTTATTTTTTAAAGGGCAAAAAAAGTTTAATGTATGTTTAATTTTAATATTTTTATTGCATTACTTGCATATAAGTAGCTACTTTTTAATTTTTTTATAAATAAATTTTTGAATACATATATTTTTTTATTTCTAGTTTCTAGTGTTTATTAGAAATATGTTTTTTTAGTCATTTGCTACTATTTTGATACAGAAAAAGTGCCCAAACAAATATGTTTGGCCACGTTTTAGGTCAATATACCTGCCTGTGCGGTGTCTTTTTTTAAATATTTTTAAATATATAGGAAAACCAAAAAAGTACATTAAAATAATAATTTTAATGCTGTTTTTATATTTCGGTTTAATGTTGTTCTATATTGCCTTTATAACGGAAAATATAAAGATATAAAAGAAAATAATTTTTATCTGCCACAAAATTATTTTTTTAATGTCATAAAATATAAAATTTCATAAAGTTTACAGATTAAACAAGTTTAGGTAAGATTTATGCTTTATAAATTAAAAACCTTTTTTATTTTATTAATTAAATAACAGTTTTAGTTATATATTTAATTTGTGTCAAAATACACATTTATTAAAAAATATATCCTAACAATAAATTTTAATTATACAATTATGCAGGGTGTTTTACATTCGTGGTCCATTAAATGTTTCTGGCCTATAAATAGCCTATAAGTTTTTTGTAATTAGGTTTTCGGATATGGGGTATGTTAAAGAATTGACAGAAACAATTTTTAAGATTCCAAAAATTTTACCGCCATATCCGCAAATCTAATAACAAAAAAGCTATTTATGATTCACGCGCATTTGTCAAATTTTACCGAAAAATTTAAATAGGTCGAAAACTATTCACTTTAGGTAAAGGAGATGGTATGGTTATTTTACTCAGAATTTAAAAATGTAAAAATATTTTTTTTTGAAATAACAAAGTTGATGTCCCATGGCATTTTGTTTAAAATATTTTAGGAGAAAAGGATGTGACTACGAATGTAAAACACCCTGTATTTATTGTATTATCCCCATATTCTATTTGAGAATATTGTATTTAAAGAATGGTAGAAAACATCATGAAACAAAAAGTGGAAATTAATGTTATCGGACTTTTCTAATGCATTAAATTAAATCTATCACATTTATAACTTCCATCAGACAAAAGAAGATTGTGCAGTTTGACGATTAATGTTCTGCTAAAACCATGAGCAAGATTTCCTTTTATGATTCGACGCTCTAATCCAATCTAAATAAAAACAGAACGGTTAACGTCTAAAGAACATTTTTAACTTTCTTTGTATTACCTTAAATCCTAATTAATCATAGGCTAAGTAGTTGTTTTTAGTAAATATGTTCTTTTTACCTCTTAAGTCTTTTCTTCTAGCTTTCCTAGACAAATCCAGTTCGCTGGCTGCAGAACTAACATTGGCAGCCCTGTTAAAATTTGAAGTGGAAATGCTATCACGTGAGGTGGAAAAATAGCCTTCTTGATGGTAGCTGCTGTGCGATTGACGAGATTTTGACATTCCAAATTTACAACCGACCAAATCTGAAAAAGAATATTTATTAAAATAATTTTGTTTTATTGTCCTATTAAATACATCAAAACATTAAGACATTAAGACAAATTTGAAAGTTACAATTTTGTTTGTATGCGTTTTAACAACTTATATATATTATAAGTTATCACACAAGAAAATACATTTTAATGATTTATTATAGCTTTAGAATTTATAAATTCTAGTATTATAATAGTCTTCCTACTTTTACCATTTACCCTTTTTTAAACTAAATGTAAAGAAACAGAACACCAGCGCCCTCTTATTTTGGGAAATCTTTGGCGCCATCTTTTGTAAATTCTAAGGACTTATCAATATGCCCTCGTATATAATGTGTTTTGTGTATGTAGCGTAGTTAATTTTAAATCGAAGTGTATATGTACAGAGGCGCCTCTGTAGATAAAGTTACGGTTATGTACAGAGGCGCCTCTGTTGATAAAGTTACGGTTATGTACAGAGGCGTCCCTGTAAAAAATATCAATATACAGAGACGCGTTGACTTGTATTAAGTATACTATAGTGTTATATGGTTTAAATTCATTTTATTTTCAAACATTAGGTACCTACCATATATTTGAAATGCTAGCGTCTAGAGGCACCGAATTATCTTGGCTCCCTGGCTCCTAGACATGCGCGTTTTATAGAAATGTACTCAAACTCAACAACACAACCCAACCGACCCCGCCCCATTGGGCCCCCCCCCGCCCCATTGAGCAAAAAACCCAACTAAAATGGGCAAATTTATGTTACGATAAAAATAAAACACTTTTTAATTACATAAATTATCCCATTTTAGTTGGGTTTTTTGCTCAATGGGGCGGGGGGGGGCCCAATGGGGCGGGGTCGGTTGGGTTGTGTTGTTGAGTTTGAGTACATTTCTATAAAACGCGCATCTCTAGGAGCCAGGGAGCCAAGATAATTCGGTGCCTCTAGACGCTAGTTAATCTGCCTCTGTACATAACCGTAACTTTATCTACAGAGGCGCCTCTGTACATATACACTTCGATTTTAAATGTTAAAATATTAAAAAATTGAAATCCTAATTTTATGGTTTCATTATATAAAGCATGATTATAACAAAAATTTCGTTAAAAAAATAAAATTTAAACTAAATTGTCCCTTTGGTAGCATAAAACTGAAAATAAAACACTGTATATAACTTTATTATAAGTGAAGTAAAATTATATTGCCTATAAAATGTTTTATGATATTTACAGATTTAAATCAGCAAATTTATAATTTTCTGTAAACTTTTACACTATCGAAAAGATTTGGGGATATCTTTAAAAAAAAAATACAAAAATAAATTTAACTTGACACTTAATATGTTAATGGTTTAATAATAGGTAAAAATAACTGCCAATAAATTTGGGTTTGAAATTTTTATTTTTCATTTACTTCATTCATAAAACTTGACACGCCATTTGTCCCAACCCCATTAAAGGGGTTGTGGATAAAAGTCTTAACTAGCATGTTCGTATTATGCAAAAAGGTGGTAACTACACAGTAAAAAAATATTTTAGCGTTCTCCCAGGTAAAAGTTGCAGAGTGAAAAAGTTAGTGTAAAACATCGCACTATTTTTAATCCTAAATATATTTTTTCGTCTAAATGCGATGGAATGATAACTCAGTTTATTTTATATAATAAGTAAATCGTTTTTTTTTTATTTTTAGATGTTTTTCCTAAAAGTAAAACATGTTCATGATGCCACGTTTCAAAACTTTAAAAATTTATCCAAAACCTTAGCAGTGCGATACGATGCAGATGGCATTTTATGATGACAACTTTGGCACTGAATTGCAAAGAGGACCTTCAAAGTTTTATTTTGAGATTATTACTGCAAATTTTTTTTATATAATTATATAGAAGAATTTCCAGATTCGATAGAAATTTTAGTCACAAAATGGGTAAGAATTGGTTACCTGTATAAAACTACGAGATTTTAAGCTTGCTTTACAAAGAGCCATACAATTTACAACAATCTAACAGTCAATTGGTGCTTTGTGCCAAAATATTATTTGGTGTTTTGAACGTATTTATATTTTAAGTATTTGCCAAAGATAAGTTTTATATTTTGTAGCGTAAAACTTACAATGGACTGTATTTACGGCGGGTTCTAAATTTAAATTTATATTATACTAATTTGACTATTTCATTCAGTAGAATTTGATTTTAATTTTAATTATTAGTGAATGATTTTTCGCTATGACAATAAGTCAAATATGACTTATAATTAGGTAGTTATTTTTGACTAATTCATTTTAAGATTTAAGTTAAAACAACACTAAAATTCACACTAAATTTAATGAAAATTTTAACTCTAATAAAGTGGACCTACTCAAGCTATAACTAGTGTTCTCTAGTGAAGCCTAGTGAGAAGCTTTTTTTTGCTGTATAAATTACAAACTAATAGAGGTTACCACATTCTTGCTTCGTACGAAAATGTTAGTTAACACGTTTATCCATCAATCCCTTCAATTATTATTTGTATATAGTACATCTGCTTAAATCAATGAAATTTTTTAGCTAGTAAATAATTTTACAATTATTGTAAATAATAAATTATTAATCATTCCGATTTAAGAGGATTTCGAGGGGAGACTTTATTATTCTTAATAGTAAAAATTATTAATCAAAATCATGTAACAACTATATTTCGTTGGACAGTTATTAATATTCCGCCATCATAAGTTTCGGTTACTATGCTGTCCGCTAAATAAACCAATTAATTAGGGAAGGTGTTGGCATTTCTCAAGCTTTGCATTTAAATTTTCTTAGAATGCCTTGCTATACTTTATTCAAATTATAACATTAATTACATTAATATTTCCACACAAATCATAGGTAATTACATAGAATTCAAAATTCAAATTCAAAAACTAATAATTAAAAACTTTCTTGTTAAGGCTCTATAAAAAGAAGGCTTTGTGTTTAGAAATGTATTGTCAAGAAAGTCACTTATTAAATTACAAAACAAGTTCCGTCACAGTAGAATAAACCGTTAAAATATTTTAAATCAAAAGACATTCTCATTTATTTTAATTAGCGAGCGTGCTTATAAAACCTCTCGAAACTTTTTGCATATCAATCTTCATTAAACGCATGCCAAGTTTAAAATTACACGCATGAGTGGTAATTAAACCTTGTCACTGAAACTCCCATAGAAATAAACTCGACACGAACACAACCGCTTACCTCTACGCACTTGAATTGATTATGCAAATTGATTCAAATTTACTGCTTAATCAATATATATAAGAGGATCTTAAATTTGATCCACTTTCCTTTACTCAAGAAGTTGCTCAGGAATTAATTACACACTCCTAATTCATATACAAATTGGTTTTAGGGGTTATTTTAAGTAAAAGTCTCTATAAATGAGTTTGTACTTTGTTAATTTTATTTTGTAAAGTTTAACATAATTTTTTATTGACAATACGCATCAACAAGTTCAACTGACTTCAGCGTCTGCAACTTATGTTTCTACTTACTTTATTCTATTTCGTAACGTGTTCGTAACAACTGTCCAGAGTGTTTATGATATATTACCATGGTAATATATCATGCAGAAATCTGTTATTATTGTTATTCGGATTCCTTATACCTATTTAACAAGTGTGCGAAGTATCCGAAAAAGATGCCATCACTGGTTTTCAAACTGAAGTGCGTTAAAGTTACAAAATACATCAGTAAGTGTTGTAATAGTACTGATAATTATATTGTACCAAATTTCTTTATAATTTGATGATTTTAGAACGGTATTTTATTTAATTGTGTTGATTTGTGTAGGTATGTGTTAATTTTTTTTTTTAGGAAATTGATTAATAAAGCATCATTTCTTATCAAAGTTATTAAAATTACAAACCAATTCTTAAAAATATCCCCTACTCACGAAAGTGTCCGACATTTTGGAAGATTGTTTCTTGTCTTATTCGAGGTCAAAGTTTGATTAACATTTTATGGTACAATTATGCCCCCCATTCTGCCTCCCCGCTGCCTTGTTTTGCCCCCGTTCACCTCCCGTCTGCTAATTGTACCATAAAATTAAAAAAAAACAGAAAATTTGATGTTAATCAAACTTTGACCTCGAATAACTCTAGAAGAAATCAATTTATCGAAAAATAATAAGAGACCTTTTTTGTAGAGCGTTACATTTTATATATTATTTTTTCCCATGTTAATTAAATGGGAAACTAAAATAAAAACAGCGACCTCTTAGAGTTGAGCTGGAACGCCCATATTTGATGAGGCCTTTTTTATATGAAATAGAAACATTTAAGAGGGTAAGAGCGAAGAAAAATTAAATTTTATTTTTTGATATATATACATATGTATATATTGTAAAAAAAATGTAATAAAGACAATGCTATAGACCAATATCATTTTTTTCAGGTTAATTTAGGCAATAATTGTTTCAAATATTGTCTATTCTTTTTTTTAAACTTTTGCTCGACTTTAAAGGTTAGGATATAATGACCATGTTTTTTTTAAAAGTTTAAAGTCGAGCAAAAGTTAAAAAGAGTTTACCCTTGCACCTAACATTAAAATTATATCGAAATAAGTATAGATTAGATTAGGCATAAGGGGATAAGTCAAAAAAAGCAATTTTTCAATAGAGTCTTTAACGTGTTCGCATTAATTCAGGAAATATATTTATGTTTAGCGGGTATACGCTTTTGTTAGCATAGGACATTGGCTAAAAAGAGGGTATACCCGCTAACCATAAATATGTTTCCTGAATTAATGCGAATACGTTTAAGGCTCTAATGAAAAATTGCTTTTTTTTACTTATCCCCTTATGCCTTTTACCCACAGAGTTCTTGCATTCAACTGCCTATATCCTTCAAACAAGTATTAATTTAAATTACAAATAAAAATAAATCAATTCTTAAATAAAAAGTATCTATAGATACTTGCGGAATGGTGAGATGAACATATACTTGGACTGAGATGATTAATATTTAATATAGAACAAATTTTTTTTCGTGTAGTATCTACAATTCTTACTCTACTACTTTCTATTACTATTATAATATTTCGTTTTTATATTTACCAGAGTATTTACCTAAGAGGCTTTGTCTGGAAACACTCTTTAGCACCCTGTGCACGCTTTCTGTGCTGGTCTTATGCGAACCAGACGTGGGATGGGCGCACTGCACTGGAGACGTGACGTTTAACCGCGTGCTGCTTCCACTTAATCGTTCCCCGACCATACAGGCACCTCCACCACCACCTCCTGTAGTGATTATTCCTGAAACAACAGAAAAAACAATTAGTTTATGCACGATACACAAAAACCAGTAGGCTGGTTATGAAACGAAAACTCGGTGACTCCTCGCATGTGACGTGCGAACCAGATTTAAATGTTACAATTGTTTAAACAGTTTTGCATAGGCATACGCTATGCAAGGGTGTTTTACTACGATTTATTTTGAGTTTTTTCCGAAAGCCACGCACGATAGTTTTGCAACGGTTTTCGTAAAGTTTTTACTGCATTTAATGAACAGCAATAACTATTTACAAGGTATTTATAAGCCACGCACGGGTGTTTTATACCAGGTTATTTATTAAGTTTGTGTTATATTTGTTGGACTTAATATGCTAAAGAAGTATCGGGTTTTTGCAACGCGCGCGCCATCTGGTGGACTTCGATAACATTACGTGAATTTAAGAATTGCCAACAATACATTTAAAGCACAGATTATACATAATTTTTAAATAAATTGGTAGTTTTTTCCCAAAAGAGAGGAAGGCAGAGAAGTCTTACTCGACAAATTTTGTTCAATTGCACAGCTTAATCGCGCACGTTGTTTGTGTTTTACGTTGCAAGGAAAAACTATAAACTTTTTTAGTACTCGATTTCGATTGATTAAGAAACTCAACGCTTAAATGCTTATATAGTTACGTCAGTGTGTGCATTTTATCTAAGGGATCATGGTGAATTATTGTGTTTTTAATTGTAAATAAAATTCAAGAACTAAATCGTTGCATTTTCATGTTTTGCCAATTCGGTAGATAAGTACATTTGTTGGTGCAGAATTAACTAATGATAACTTTACCTAATATAATTTATATTTAAATTTGGACATTTTTAAGAAATTAGTAAAAAATAATTTTTGCACAAACATAACCTTAAAATCAACCATTTTTATATTTGAGTTCTCTGCATTTTAAACAACAAAATATACCTACGAATTCATGGCATAATATTATATATAATACATAATATAATGGTTTTTTGCCGTTGAGTGGAGACTTTCTTAATCAACGCTTTTAATAATGCTAAATGCTGTTTAAATTTGGACGACTTATTTGTTTGACGATTTTTAATGAATTGAAATTTTTACACTTTTCACGTAAATCACTACTAAAATGTTTATTTATTGTATCTAATAGCTATACCTAGGTACAATTTATATTTACAGAGACTGTATGCAATTTATTTCTTCATTCAGATTAACACTGTTTATTGGAAAACCGGTAAAAACTCAACCCAAGATTTCCTCTCGAAATACACCCAACAACACAACAAATCGTGCCACGGTTTTTTTTCGATATTTTTTAACATTTTCCGGCTTTATTCTCAAAATACTCGTTTGTAACAAAAGCTGACAGCTGATTATTAAAAGTTGTACTTTTGTTACGATGATAACAGCCGGGTGGTGGCGCTACTAGCGATACTTCTTTAGCGTACTCGTATAACTATTTAAAATATGCCGGGATGTGCTGTAGCAGACAGCAGAAATATGAACAAAAACCCAACATATAATATTTTCGATTTCCAAATAATAAAGATCTGGCAGCACAGTGGATGAATGCATGTAAGAGAAAGGATAAAAAGGCATATTTTGGTATACCCAATTTTCTGTTAGGTAACTTTTCACCCTAACTACATATTTTTTTACAGCCTGCTTAAGTTCTTACTAACAATAAAAATTAAAATACCATTGTATCGGAAATCGGCTTCAAAAGTGTCACAGGTAAAAAAAGCAGTTTTGAGATTTTTTTACTTTTGACACTTTAAAGCGGGCGTGCGTTATTATTACCTGTATAAATCCATTTTTATAATTAAAAAATGTAAAATTCTAGCGTAAGTTAAGTTAATTCAATTTAATAAAAAATATTTTGAAAACTAATAATTCGAAGGTAGGAAATTAATTGTTGTTTAATAGTATATTATGTATCAAGTTTTATAAACGCCATTTTAGTTACGAGTTTAATTAAGCACGAGCGAAGCTTGCGAGCGAGTGTTTAATAAAAACGAGTGTCTAGAGAAGTTTATAAACGAGTTGCATACTATACTTTAACTACGACGAACACAAAACAGAATTTAAAGCCAATTTTATTTGTTAAAATTTTGACATCTGTCAACTGTCACCCGAATAAAATGTCGAAAAGCCACTGTTGTTAACTTCAGCCCGTCAATAAAACGCCATAAAGTGACAGCTCGTCAATGTACATAAAATATGTTACATTATTATTAAAAGCGCTTGCTGCCAATGTAACTTTCTCTTAACATTTGTTACACTTACGCCAGCTTTTGGTTCGCACATGACGTCACACGGTGCGAGAGAGATAGCTATAACATGCGCATCAATATCGGTTTTTGTGTACCGTGGCGTAAAATAAAGGGATATTGAATATTATTATATGTTTACACCGTTATACCAATTGGCCAAACCGTCCTGAATAATTACATGATTTCACAGTGACTGCAAATTGTAAAATGCACCTAACCACCGTAATATTTACGCTAGACCTGGTTAATAAGTTTTGTTAAAACAACATATTCATAATATTTTTTTTTACATAACGCGATGGAGCAATGCTGAGATCGGATTCCAATTCAGACTATCAAAAACCTTTGGAAAGGTTTAGTATTATTTCAACAATATAAAGTGGGTTAATTTGAACATTGTTGACTTGTGATGAAATTCAAACAGCTTTATTTGATACTGTTGTCTAAAACTGGTAATTAATAAATTGTTCTACTCAACGAAGCTGCAGCATGTTAGGGCCATTTGCTGATATACTATTACATGGTATTACATACTTGTAATTCATAATCAAAAGAAACACTCAACAATATCATTTACGTAATTTGTTTAAAATTGAAAAACTCTTTACTCATACAGGGTGTCCATTTTTATTCCTGTCATTATTTATCATTATAAGTTATGTTTTCCTCCCCTAAAATATACCGAAATAATGATTATTTATGAGGAGTATGGGCGCAATGCTATAGCACAAGTTTTTTCCCAGCGCTTTCCCGTTCGTCCCCTTGACTGTAAAGTTGTTCTGCGAAAAATAAAGAAGCTATTTCCAATGCCTTTAACGCAAATAGTAGGAAGAGCATAAGAGAAGTTGCACCCGAATTTCCCTTTCACCGTTCAGCGGGTTATGAAGGACGTTCATTTTATGCGAGTGCGAGTCAGAAGATAATCCAGCTAGAGTGGAATTCTGAAGTGGTTGCTAGAGATTTTGGCTCTGGGGTACAGAACTATTTGTTTAATTTTTACTATTAAACTTCCTGAAAAGCTATGACCTTCTTTTTTAAAAGGTTAGGAAACAAATTCGGGCAAAAGATTTTTAAAAGTTTTAAGACAACAATGTTCTATCGTCTTCTAGTAATTTTTAAAGCTCCTATGTTTAACCTAGGCGAGAGCTCTCTATTTTTTAACTCATTTGATTACACTTTTACCTGGACATTTATTTTTAAATTTGGCATCTTCATTGCAATTATTATGAAATAAATTAGTCTAATTTGATTAGGAAATGATTTATTTTATTGTTCTTGAAGAAAAATACGATTTTTACAAAAACTTTGTTAATAAAGTAATAGAAAAGTCATAAAAATTATCAATTCCAAAACTCGAAAGTATCAAATGGTGGTCAAATAATTCTTTTTTAAGGATCTGGCATAAAATTGATCAATGTCGTTGTTGTTTTTTTCCTTCTATTCCGTTTTCTTTTTAACGTTTCCGCTTCCTCATGCTGTTTAATAATCTCTTTTAATTACTGCAAAGTCTTCAAGTTAGCGTTAAACTTAGTATCGGAAATAAAAGATCTGGGTGTCTGGTTGGACCCTCAGTTAACCTTTGGATGGGGTGTGTCAAGTTCCTATACTCATCAATGGTACGATCACAAGTTGAATTCAACTCAGTTTTTAATATCTATATTGATAAAATTGAACGCGTTCAAAATGAATTTGCCAAGTTTATTGAGTTTAAAATGGGAATTGCGGTAGACTTACCAGGATATAAAAAATTGGTCTTGGATAGACTACAATTAAAAAGTTTAGCTAGTAGAAGAAAATGTATTTATGTTATATTTATCTTTTTAACTTTTGAATTCTCAAATTAATTCTCCAGAATTACTTGAGAAGATTAATTTTAGAATACCACAACATCGCACACGACAAAGCAACATGTTTTATGTTAATTTTCATACCAATGGTTACTCCCACAACATGCCTCTTTCTAGATGTTGCCATCTTGCGAATGAGACAAATTTGGACCTAAATTATTTAACACTAGCGCAAGTTCGTTTAGCTCTTAACCAAATTTTTTAGTAAACTAAATTTTTTAGAAAAATTTCTATCTGAAATTACCACTTATTTAATAACTGTATTTATTGTGAATTGTAATGTATATTGTATGCTCATATCCTATCTGTAACTGTCGTAAATAAAGTATTATTATTATTATTAAATCTCCACCTCTTGAATCTCATCAAAATGCTACAAGGTCTAGGATGCCTTTTTTTCTTCTTGATTCAACATCAAAATAAATTTCTTCTATCAGAGTATTAAAAGCATCAAAAGACAGGTGAGCCAGATCTTGAAGATGCCACCAGGCCACTTAATTAAAAAAAAAATCATGGAAAGGTGGTATCCATATGTACAATATTAATAGTAAACTATTAATATTTTAAAAGTAGTATTTAAAGTTTTCACTTTGGTATATTTTTATCAAGTTTAAACATAGATTATAGTGTATTATGTATCAAGTTTGATAAACACTATTTTAGTCAAGAAAATTACTGGCCACAATCTTAATTAAATGAGGCAGCACGTGCTGCCGGCGAAATCAAATTTTTGTATTAAGGTTGTCCGGGCATGAGTTTTAGTGTTTCGATCGTGGTAGAAGTGAAATCCGTTCCAACTACTTGCAATCAAAATTCATATGGGTATAAATTCCATTTTTAGGCGAATTTTTTGTTATTTTGCAATGTAATTGGATTGTCAGTTCA